CCTTCATGCAACCGCTGGCTTCGTCAACCACAAGCAGTAAGTATTTGCTGCCGCCGATCGAGACTTGTTCCATTGGCCCGCAGATGTCGAAGTGCAGCAACTCGAACACACCATATTGGCGTTTGTCACGGTTGGTTGGGAATGGTTTTTGGACCATCTTTCCTTGCTGGCAACCGCGACACACACTTGGACCAGTCGAGTTGAGAGGTGCTTTGGCGTCCTTGATCATGCCAGTAGCCACCATCTTGCGCAGAACTTCGAGGGGTGCATGACCCATGCGCGCATGCAAGTCGATGGTCCCATTGCGTGTTGCTGCATTTGCCGATCGTTGAGGAGTCCGCAGCCAGTAAAGTCCATCAACGAGATCCGCTGTTGCCACGACTTGTGTGGAATTCTTGCGCTTCACTTGCATCTTGGATCCATCGAACACGACTTGGAACCTGCCACCCTTGTTGATCTGTGGCACCGAAAGCAGATTCTTGCTCATAGTTGGTACGAACAGTGCGTCCTTGATCTCGATGTCGCGTTCGTCACCATTGGGCAGAACCACCCGTTCCATGATGGTTCCCACACCCTTGATCGCAGCCTTGCTGCCATCAGCCACTAATAGTTCGCCTTCCTCTCGCTCATTCAGGCTTGCAAACTTGGCTTTGTCGTTGCAGATGTGATGCGTCGCACCACTGTCGACTGCCCACATCCCTGGCATATTCTTGCCCGTCGAAAGTCCAGCCTCCAGCGAAACCGCGAACGCAACTCGATCGTAGTTGTCATCGTAGTTGCTGTTGGTTCGCCACTGAACGTTGTTGGCTCCGCGTCCACGAGCATTGTTGCCGCCGCGTCGAGCTCCACCTTGATTATCGTCCTTCTGCTTGGTCCAGCACCGCTCCGCTGTGTGCCCCAATTTTCCGCAGTATGTACACTGGCGAGGTTCACGCTCGGTACTGAACGCCTTCGCCGCGTCTTCAATCTTCACCGATGTCGTCTTGTCACCTTGTCTCTTGATGTGCTCATTCGTGAGTACTCTCAAGACGTCTCGCGATCGCAGTTCCGCGCTGCTCATCTCCAAGTTGAGAACGACGTTCTCGTAGCTCTTGGGGAGGCTGCGCAACAAGCAGATCGCCACGTCCTCGTCCTCCATCTTGGCGCCGATGCTGCTGAGCTTCGCGCTGATGTTGAGGACTTCGTTGCAATGATGCATCACATTGCCGCCTTCCGCCATCTCCATGCTGAGCAGCTGGCGCTTCAAGTAGATGCGTCCAGCCTTCTGCGACCCGCCGTACAGCGTCTTCAAACGCGCCCACGCGACCCACGCCTCTTCACAGTCATCAACCACGTGATGATAATCCGGGCTCATGTGCAGAAGCATCAAGCCGAACGCAATGTTGTTCGTCTTGATGTAGTCGTCACTGACGCGAGGATCGGCGAAGGTGGGGGTGGTCTCCCGGTTCACCACGTGCCACGCCGACTTGGTCAGGAACACGCCACGCATGTAGCGGCTCCACGTCGCGTAGTTGTCGCCGTCGAACTTGTCGATGGAGATCTTGGTGGTGGCATCATGAGCAGAGGACATCGTGCTTGGGCTCATAACCTGTTGATTGGTGAAAAGCTTGACGACCGAAACTGGGAGTGATGCTGGGAGTCTACTCGGAAGACCGGAGAAGACACTTGGGGGGTAGATGGAAGATTGGAAAGTGATTGATTATCGGGGCTTACTACTTACTACATGATTTATATGTGGTGCACATATAAATCATGTGAAGCGTCTCATCATCCTACGCGTCTAATCAACTATGGTAATTACCGTAAGAACTACGTCGTAAATACTAAGCTGAACAGGCGGTTCGGATTGGACCGGTCACGGTTACCAATACTGGTAGAAACCGATGACCGTCAACAAAGTGGTATTTCGCTTGCTGCAAATATACACTTCTTGAGGTTTGCATACAATTGATGCATTCGCATGATTGTAAGAACCTGTCGGACGTGGTATCTGTGAACCTTAACGTCCGACCTTCCATCCATAGCTCGGCTATGGATGAATACGTCATCGAAATAACTCGGCGAAAATTCTCGTACTGGTCTCAACAGATGTGATACACATCTGTTGAATGTGGCAGGGGCATTACTAAGCCCTTGTGGCATTACTAGCCATTCCCAGAGCATGCCGCTAGGCGTGCTAACTGCGGTATAGGGTATATCCCTTTCTCGCATAAGGATTTGATAGAAGCCATCCATCAAATCCATGGACGAAAAGATGGTACTCTTTGACATACCATTAATGATTACGTCCTTCCTCGGTATCGGCGTCTGAGCCGGTACCGTTGCAGCATTCAATTTGTTGAACGCGTGCACTATCCGCCACCCTCCTGTTGCTTTTCGCACACAGAAGGTCGGAGAGCTATGTGGGGAAGTTGATTCCCTCATATGGCCCGCAGCTAAACGATCGGCAAAGAACTTGTCGATCGCAAGTACTTGTTCACGAGGCAGTGGCCACTGCTTCATGACGCAGTACTTCGAGCCTGGTTTAAGCTCGACCTCGTGTCGAATACCTTTATCCTTCGGTAATTCGCACGGAACAGTTTCAGGGAATACATCCTTGAATTCAACCAAATCTTCATAGAGAGGATTTGTCTTGAGCGATTCCCACGATTGGGAGTCATATCGCTCAATTCGTGTCTTTTCATCCAGGACACTCTCGTCCATAGATGAACTACTGAGAACTCTCTCGTTCTCAGTAAACACTGTCGCAGACCTTATGTCGGTTAAACACTCGTCGTCAGCGACGAGTACGCAGATCTGCTTGACTTTGCCACTACGCAGATCACGCAGGAACCTTTTATGCTCGAGCGTCGGCAACTGAGTGATCTCCGAAGTCAACTTCGGAGGCGCAATCAGATCAAGTGTATAAGCGCCTACACTTGATCCGTTATTGACTGTGACATTCAATGTCTCTGTCATTTCCTGGGGGCTTATTCCCTCAGGCCTCGAAGGACTTATTCCTTCGGCTTCCCGGGGACTTATTCCCGCGGGTATCGGGGAACTTATTTCCGCCGTATTTGTAATCTTGGGACTTATTCCCTTTTCTTCCTCTAGCTGGGGTTGCGCAACAACAGCGAGATCCTCTACGAAAGACTCTCCAGTCGATCTAGGATTATCGTTTCGCTTAACCTGAGCGATCGATCGTTTCTCTTCTAGATGTTCCCCGCTAGGGATACATCTTTGTCCCAGTCCACCCGACTTATTCGAGTGGTGAACCTTCGGCGCAGCCTGTGTTTCCTCACAGCCGCCGGAATTTTGCTCCGAAGTGTAACCGTTTGGTACACTAAGGTTTTGTGCAGTCGTACTAACGACCGTACCACAAGTGAGGCCATCGCACTCACTCGTAGTACATCCACACGCTTGTGGACGCTCCAAAACGTTCATCAGATGGCCATCTAATGAACAAGCGGCAGGCATCGTTACTGTTCGATGTTGCCAGTTTACCCGTGCTTCGTACCTTCTGAGCCACGGTATTCCAAGGATGACATCAAATTTGTCATCCAAATCCAATATGATAACGTCATCATCATATTGAGTATCTTCTAGCGTATAGTGGATATTCACTATACGCTTCATGACGGTTACGGATGCGCCTGTCGCAAGACGTACCGTCATCCTCGTAGGAGGTGTGTCACATTCACTGAATTTAAAGTGACCATCTTCTAGCGATTGGCGTTGCACAAAATTGTTGGACGCCCCACAATCGACTAGAGCTCGAAGGGACAACTTATTTGTCACTTCGAGTTTCAAGGTAATGAGTGAGACCTCATTACCTAGAGCAGCAACGCACAACGTTTGTGTGTTGGGAGCAACCTTCATCAAGAGGCCTACAAATTCTCTTGACGTTGCTGAACCAGTAGGGTGCTCCGCACCTACTGATCCTGTCCGTTTTTTGTCGGTCCATCCCGTTGTTGCGTCTTTGCACCAACAGCGGACCCTCGTCCCTGCCCCTTTCTCACGGGTGGACGGTCACTACGCCCAGTGTTGCGAGACACTGGACGAGGGGCACTACACTTGTAAGCGTAGTGTCCTGTCTTCTGACATCTGTTGCATCTCTGCAACTTATTGTAGTCTGTAGAGCGAGCCTTCTCGCTCTCTACATAACAGAGTTCCATCGGCTCTGGACCTCCGTTGTCATATCGTCTCGGTTGACGATATGATGTCGAGCTGGCGCGAGCCTGTCTCAGACTGAAGTCTTCCTGCTCCGCAATGGAAATGGCTTGTTCTAGTTAATCTAGTTCAAGCCGGAACAGGTGAGTCTTGACGGGACCATCCGCAAGACCCTGCATAAACACCGAAACCAACGTGTGTTCATCCACCGGATTGGAACTTATACAACTCGTAAGATGTCGTATATGTTGCGCGTAAGCGTGCACATCACGCTTACCCTGTTTGAGCTTCAAGAGTTCGGTTCGAGCTCTGAACTCAGCTCTAGGCGGTTCAAACGTTTGTCTGAGCCGCGACTTGAAGACTTTCAACGACCCAAACGAATATGGGTCGTGCAACTTGAGCCCCAGTGCCCAAGTCTTGGCACGTCCTGCCAGATTTGACTGGGCAAATGCAACTTGCATTTCCCCGTCGTCGATGCGACGCGCCCTTATGGCGTCATCCAATTCGACGAACCATCTCAAGAGGTGTTGACGGTCATCGGTTTCTACCAGTATTGGTAACCGTGACCGGTCCAATCCGAACCGCCTGTTCAGCTTGGTATTTACGACGTAGTTCTTACGGTAATTACCATAGTTGATTAGACGCGTAGGATGATGAGACGCTTCACATGATTTATATGTGCACCACATATAAATCATGTAGTAAGTAGGAAGCCCCGATAATCAATCACTTTCCAATCTTCCATCTACCCCCCAAGTGTCTTCTCCGGTCTTCCGAGTGGACTCCCAGCATCACTCCCAGTTTCGGTCGTCAAGCTTTTCACCAATCAACAGGTTATGAGCCCAAGCACGATGTCCTATGCTCATGATGCCACCACCAAGATCTCCATTGACAAGTTCGACGGCGACAACTACGCGACGTGGAGCCGCTACATGCGTGGCGTGTTCCTGACCAAGTCGGCGTGGCACGTGGTGAACCGGGAGACCACCCCCACCTTCGCCGATCCTCGCGCCAGTGACGACTACATCAAGACGAACAACATTGCGTTCGGCTTGATGCTTCTGCACATGAGCGCGGATTATCATCACGTGGTTGATGACTGTGAAGAGGCGTGGGTCGCGTGGGCGCGTTTGAAGACGCTGTACGGCGGGTCGCAGAAGGCTGGACGCATCTACTTGAAGCGCCAGCTGTTCAGCATGGAGATGGCGGAAGGCGGCAATGTGATGCATCATTGCAACGAAGTCCTCAACATCAGCGCGAAGCTCAGCAGCATCGGCGCCAAGATGGAGGACGAGGACGTGGCGATCTGCTTGTTGCGCAGCCTCCCCAAGAGCTACGAGAACGTCGTTCTCAACTTGGAGATGAGCAGCGCGGAACTGCGATCGCGAGACGTCGTGAGAGTGCTCACGAATGAGCACATCAAGAGGCAAGGTGACAAGACGACATCGGTGAAGATTGAAGACGCGGCGAAGGCGTTCAGTACCGAGCGTGAACCTCGCCAATGTACATACTGCGGAAAATTGGGGCACACGGCGGAGCGGTGCTGGACCAAGCAGAAGGACGAAAATCAAGGTGGAGCTCGACGCGGCGGCAACAATGCTCGTGGACGCGGAGCCAACAACGTTCAGTGGCGAACCAACAACAACAACAACGACGACAACTACGATCGAGTTGCGTTCGCGGTTTTGCTGGAGGCTGGACTTTCGACGGACAAGAATATGCCAGGGATGTGGGCAGTCGACAGCGGTGCGACGCATCACATCTGCAACGACAAGGCCAAGTTTGCAAGCCTGAATGATCGAGAGGAAGGCGAACTATCAGTGGCTGATGGCAGCAAGGCTGCGATCAAGGGTGTGGGAACCATCATGGAACGGGTGGTTCTGCCCAATGGTGACGAACGCGACATCGAGATCAAGGACGCACTGTTCGTACCAAGTATGAGCAAGAATCTGCTTTCGGTGCCACAGATCAACAAGGGTGGCAGGTTCCAAGTCGTGTTCGATGGATCCAAGATGCAAGTGAAGCGCAAGAATTCCACACAAGTCGTGGCAACAGCGGATCTCGTTGATGGACTTTACTGGCTGCGGACTCCTCAACGATCGGCAAATGCAGCAACACGCAATGGGACCATCGACTTGCATGCGCGCATGGGTCATGCACCCCTCGAAGTTCTGCGCAAGATGGTGGCCACTGGCATGATCAAGGACGCCAAGGCACCTCTCAACTCGACTGGTCCAAGTGTGTGTCGCGGTTGCCAGCAAGGAAAGATGGTCCAAAAACCATTCCCAACCAACCGTGACAAACGCCAATATGGTGTGTTCGAGTTGCTGCACTTCGACATCTGCGGGCCAATGGAACAAGTCTCGATCGGCGGCAGCAAATACTTACTGCTTGTGGTTGACGAAGCCAGCGGTTGCATGAAGGGCTTCTGTCTGCGGTCCAAGTCTGAGAGTGAAGACTGTATCAAGAACCACATCATCAAGATTCAAACTCAGTTCGGCACGAAGATCAAGTTTGTTCGGCACGATGGAGCGCATGAGTTTGCGACCAACTCGATCAAGACCTTCTACGAAGATCATGGTATCGAACAACAGATCACGGTGCCGTATGCACACCAGACCAACGGCACCGCAGAACGCGCGATAAGGACCATTGTCACGATTGGACGCAGCTTGTTGCATCATGCAAATCTGGAGAAGTGTTTCTGGGCTGAAGCGGCAATGACGGCGATCTACATCAAGAACCGCCTGCCTTCACCCAAGATCGACCACAAGACTCCGTTCGAGATCGTGTACAAGTCGAAACCAAGTGTCAAGCACATGCGCGTGTTTGGATGTCGGGCGTTTATCCTGACACCAAGGGAGAAGCGATTGAAGTGGGACCCGAAGGCTCGTGAAGGGATGTTCATGGGCTACGAAGAAGCGTCAAAAGCTTATCGAGTGTACGACATTGAGGCGGGCCAAGTGGTGATCAGTCGTGACATCACCTTCGACGAATCGACTTTTGACTTTTCGATGGACCGACCAAGTGACGATGATGAAGATGCGGAGTTGGACCTCGACCTCCTGGCGAGGTTATCAACGAGGACGACGTGCGTCAAACCGTCTACAAGCAGACTGGCAAGCGCAAGAGTGAAGCAAGACCCGGCATGTCACGTTCAGCTCGCCCTCGAACTGGGTTGGAACAAGCAAGTGCGCCGGAACACGTCTCCAACCGTCACCAGAAACGACGATCAAGTGCTCCAGAAACGATGTCTGATGACAAAGAAGATGCAAGCGTCTACGATCAAGATGACGACTCGACGCCTCCAACATTTTGGCGTGCAAGTGCAAACGCAGTGGAAGCAACGGACCTAGCAGAACCTGTGACTTTTCAAGACGCGATCAATGGTCCTGATCAAGCTGACTGGCGAAATGCTGTGAAGGCGGAACTCAAGTCGATGCACCTTCGTGGAGTTTTCCGTGCGGCAAAACTGCCAAGAGGCCAAGGCGCGATCGGCACCAAGTGGGTGTTCAAGATCAAGCGCAAAGCGGATGGATCGGTCGAGAAATACAAGGCGCGTCTCGTTGCCAAGGGCTTCAAGCAGAAGTACGGCATCGACTACACAGAGACGTTCTCGCCCGTGGTCAAGTACGTGACACTGCGTATGGTGATCGCGATCACCAAGTATTTCGACTGGCCACTGGACCAACTCGATGTGGTGACAGCCTTTCTCTACGGAGTGATGAAGGAGAAGGTGTACTGCGTGATACCAGAAGGCGTCGAGATGGATGGCGACTTCGACTGTCTCGAGTTGGTGAAGGCGATCTACGGTCTCAAGCAAGCTTCACGTGTGTGGAACGAGACTATCGACGAGTTCGTATGCTCTATCGGTTTCGAAGCGTCGGCGTTCGACCCATGTCTCTACATCAAGGTTGTCGACGGTCACTGTGTGCTCGTGCTGGTCTACGTGGATGACGTGTTGGTCACCGGCAGCTCGCTCGAGTTGATTGCGCAGACGAAGGCCGACCTCAAGACGCGTTTCGAGATGACCGACAGTGGCAAGTGTACTTTTGTACTGGGCATCGAACTGGTGGACGAATCGGATGGCAGCGTGACGATGTGCCAGCGACGGTATGTCAACGACATCCTCAAGCGCTTCGGCATGGATGAGTGCAAGGCCACAGCAAGTCCGGTCGATTTGAGCACTCGGCTTGTCGCAAGCAGCGAAGCGGCCAAGATCGACGTTCCGTTTCGTGAAGCTGTGGGAGCTTTGATGCACTTGACGACTGCGACGCGCCCGGACATTTTGTATGCTGTGGGGTACGTCTCGCGCTTCATGAAGAATCCGCAGCAAGAACATTGGACGGCGGTGAAGCGCATCTTTCGTTACTTGCAAGGGACCAAGTCGCACGGACTCCGCTTCCAGCCAAGCGACAAGATCGACTTTCGTGGCTACTCGGACGCGGACTGGGCCGGCGACCACGCTGATCGCAAGTCGACTTCGGGTTACACTTTCATGCTGATGGGTGCTCCTGTGAGTTGGGGAAGCAAGAAGCAGTCAAGTGTGTCGCTGTCGACGAGTGAAGCGGAATACATCGCACTGAGTCTGGCCATCCAGGAAGGCAAGTGGGTGCATCGCCTGCTATGCGAGATTTTGGCGGCCGCAAACGAACCAGGACTGGACCTCGTCATCCGTGAAGACAACCAGTCGTGCATCAAGATGACGAAGAATCCGGTCAACCACGGCCGCGCCAAGCACATCGACATCAAGTACCATCACATCCGTGATGAGGTCAAGCGCGGTGAAGTGCAGCTCGAGTATTGCGAGACTTCCGTGATGATGGCGTACATCATGATGAAGGGACTTCATGGACCACGCCACAAGGAGATGACGACGGCTCTCGGCATTCGTGCGAGTTCGGATTGAGGGGGCGTGTTGACGGTCATCGGTTTTCTACCAGTGTTGGTAACCGTGACCGATCCAATCCGAACCGCCTGTTCAGCTTAGTATTTACGACGTAGTTCTTACGGTAATTACCATAGTTGATTAGACGCGTAGGATGATGAGACGCTTCACATGATTTATATGTGCACCACATATAAATCATGTAGTAAGTAGTAAGCCCCGATAATCAATCACTTTCGAATCTTCCAACTATTGGGCAAGTGTTTTCTGCTCTACTCTCTTCGGTCTCTCCGCTCCGTTCGCTCCGCTTTCCTCGCTCCGATCTACAATGCAACAGGTTATGAGCCCAAGCGCCATGTCGTCCACCAGCAACGCCTCCATTGACAGTTCGACGGCGACAACTACGCAACGTGGAGCCGGTACATGCGCGGTGTGTTTTTGACGAAGTCCGTCTGGCACGTCGTTAACCGTGAAGTGACTCCGACTTTCACCGACCCGCGAGCGTCCGATGACTACGTCAAGGCAAGCAACGTCGCGTTTGGTATGGTGCTGCTGCACATGAACGCGGACTACCATCATGTGCTGGACAACTGCGAGGAAGCCTGGGTTGCGTGGACAAGTCTGAAGACGCTGTACGGTGGGTCGCAGAAGGCAGGACGCATCTACCTCAAGCGACAACTTTTCAGTATCAAGATGGCTGAAGGCGCGAACGTCATGCATCACTGCAACGAGGTCCTCAACATCTCCGCCAAGCTTAGCGGCATCGGTGCGAAGATGGAAGACGAAGACGTTGCAATTTGTCTGCTACTCAGTCTTCCGAAGAGCTACGAAAATGTGGTGCTCAACATGGAAATGAGCAGCACCGAGCTTCGCACTCAAGATGTGGTGAGAGTCCTGACGAATGAGCATGCCAAGCGTCAAGGAGAAAAATGGACAACGACAGCGACTACGGTGAAAGCTGAAGATGCAACCAAGGCATTCGTCACCGAGCGTGAGCCTTACCAATGCACGTATTGTGGCAAGGTAGGGCACACGATGGACCGCTGTTGGACGAAGCAGAAGAAGGAAGGCCGAGGAGCCCGACGCGGCGGCAATGGTTGCGGACGTGGGGCTAATAAGGTCCAGTGGGGACATCATGATGAAGGCGATGGCTACGATCGAGTGGCGTTTGCAGTCTCGTTCGAATGTGGAGTTTCGACGAGCAAGGACGTGTCTGGAATGTGGGCCGTCGACAGTGGTGCAACGCACCACATTTGCCACGACAAGACCAAGTTCGCAAGTTTGGCAGAGCGCAATGAGGGCGAACTCTTGGTGGCTGATGGCAACAAGGTGGCCATCAAGGGTGTGGGAACCATCATGGAAAAGGTGGTTCTGCCCAACGGTGAAGAGCGTGAGATCGAAATCAAGAACGCGCTATATGTTCCAAGTATGAGCAAGAACCTGCTCTCGGTGCCACAGATTAACAGCCATGGCAACTTTCAACTCGTGTTTGACGGGTCCAAGATGTATGTGACTCTCAAGAACTCACAGCAAGTGGTGGCGACAGCGGATCTCGTGGATGGACTCTACTGGCTTCGGACGACTCAACGATCAGCGAATGTGACAACAAGTGGAACCAGTTGTGCCGATCTACATGCGAGAATGGGTCATGCTCCAGTCGATGTACTTCGCAAGATGATCGCGACCAACATGATCAAGGATGTGCGAGTCCCTCTCAAGTCGGGTGGAGCAACTACATGTCGAGTATGTCAACAAGGGAAAATGGTCCAAAAACCATTTCCAAGCAACCGAGACAAGCGCAGCTTGCTGACGGTCATCGGTTTTTACCAGTATTGGTAACCGTGACCGGTCCAATCCGAACCGCCTGTTCAGCTTAGTATTTACGACGTAGTTCTTACGGTAATTACCATAGTTGATTAGACGCGTAGGATGATGAGACGCTTCACATGATTTATATGTGCACCACATATAAATCATGTAGTAAGTAGGAAGCCCCGATAATCAATCACTTTCCAATCTTCCATCTACCCCCCAAGTGTCTTCTCCGGTCTTCCGAGTGGACTCCCAGCATCACTCCCAGTTTCGGTCGTCAAGCTTTTCACCAATCAACAGGTTATGAGCCCAAGCACGATGTCCTCTGATCATGATGCCACCACCAAGATCTCTATTGACAAGTTCGACGGCGAAAACTACGCGACGTGGAGCCGCTACATGCGTGGCGTGTTCCTGACCAAGTCGGCGTGGCACGTGGTGAACCGGTAGACCACCCCCACCTTCGCCGATCCTCGCGCCAGTGACGACTACGTCAAGACGAACAACATTGCGTTTGGCTTGATGCTGCTGCACGTAAGCGCGGATTATCATCACGTGGTTGATGACTGTGAAGAGGCGTGGGTCGCGTGGGCGCGTTTGAAGACGCTGTACGGCGGGTCGCAGAAGGCTGGACGCATCTACTTGAAGCGCCAGCTGCTCAGCATGGAGATGGCGGAAGGCGGCAATGTGATGCATCATTGCAACGAAGTCCTCAACATCAGCGCGAAGCTCAGCAGCATCGGCGCCAAGATGGAGGACGAGGACGTGGCGATCTGCTTGTTGCGCAGCCTCCCCAAGAGCTACGAGAACGTCGTTCTCAACTTGGAGATGAGCAGCGCGGAACTGCGATCGCGAGACGTCGTGAGAGTGCTCACGAATGAGCACATCAAGAGGCAAGGTGACAAGACGACATCGGTGAAGATTGAAGACGCGGCGAAGGCGTTCAGTACCGAGCGTGAACCTCGCCAATGTACATACTGTGGAAATTGGGGCACACGGCGGAGCGGTGCTGGACCAAGCAGAAGGACGAAAATCAAGGTGGAGCTCGACGCGGCGGCAACAATGCTCGTGGACGCGGAGCCAACAACGTTCAGTGGCGAACCAACAACAACAACAACGACGACAACTACGATCGAGTTGCGTTCGCGGTTTTGCTGGAGGCTGGACTTTCGACGGACAAGAATATGCCAGGGATGTGGGCAGTCGACAGCGGTGCGACGCATCACATCTGCAACGACAAGGCCAAGTTTGCAAGCCTGAATGAGCGAGAGGAAGGCGAACTATCAGTGGCTGATGGCAGCAAGGCTGCGATCAAGGGTGTGGGAACCATCATGGAACGGGTGGTTCTGCCCAATGGTGACGAACGCGACATCGAGATCAAGGACGCACTGTTCGTACCAAGTATGAGCAAGAATCTGCTTTCGGTGCCACAGATCAACAAGGGTGGCAGGTTCCAAGTCGTGTTCGATGGATCCAAGATGCAAGTGAAGCGCAAGAATTCCACACAAGTCGTGGCAACGACGGACCTCGTTGATGGACTTTACTGGCTGCGGACTCCTCAACGATCGGCAAATGCAGCAACACGCAATGGGACTATCGACTTGCATGCGCGCATGGGTCATGCACCCCTCGAAGTTCTGCGCAAGATGGTGGCCACTGGCATGATCAAGGACGCCAAGGCACCTCTCAACTCGACTGGTCCAAGTGTGTGTCGCGGTTGCCAGCAAGGAAAGATGGTCCAAAAACCATTCCCAACCAACCGTGACAAACGCCAATATGGTGTGTTCGAGTTGCTGCACTTCGACATCTGCGGGCCAATGGAACAAGTCTCGATCGGCGGCAGCAGAATACTTACTGCTTGTGGTTGACGAAGCCAGCGGTTGCATGAAGGGCTTCTGTCTGCGGTCCAAGTCTGAGAGTGAAGACTGTATCAAGAACCACATTATCAAGATTCAAACTCAGTTCGGCACGAAGATCAAGTTTGTTCGGCACGATGGAGCGCATGAGTTTGCGACCAACTCCATCAAGACCTTCTACGAAGATCATGGTATCGAACAACAGATCACGGTGCCGTATGCACACCAGACCAACGGCACCGCAGAACGCGCGATAAGGACCATTGTCATGATCGGACGCAGCTTGTTGCATCATGCAAATCTGGAGAAGTGTTTCTGGGCTGAAGCGGCAATGATGGCGATCTACATCAAGAACCGCCTGCCTTCACCCAAGATCGACCACAAGACTCCGTTCGAAATCGTGTACAAGTCGAAACCAAGTGTCAAGCACATGCGCGTGTTTGGATGTCGGGCGTTTATCCTGACACCAAGGGAGAAGCGATTGAAGTGGGACCCGAAGGCTCGTGAAGGGATGTTCATGGGCTACGAAGAAGCGTCAAAAGCTTATCGAGTGTACGACATTGAGGCGGACCAAGTGGTAATCAGTCGTGACATCACCTTCGACGAATCGACTTTTGACTTTTCGATGGACCGACCAAGTGACGATGATGAAGATGCGGAGTTGGAACTCGACCTCCTGGCGATCAACGAGGACGACGTGCGTCAAACCGTCTTCAAGCAGACTGGCAAGCGCAAGAGTGAAGCAAGACCCGGCATGTCACGTTCAGCTCGCCCTCGAACTGGGTTGGAACAAGCAAGTGCGCCGGAACACGTCTCCAACCGTCACCAGAAACGACGATCAAGTGCTCCAGAAACGATGTCTGATGACGACGAAGATGCAAGCGTCTACGATCAAGATGACGACTCGACGCCTCCAACACTTTGGCGTGCAAGTGCAAACGCAGTGGAAGCAACGGACCTAGCAGAACCTGTGACTTTTCAAGACGCGATCAATGGTCCTGATCAAGCTGACTGGCGAAAAGCTGTGAAGGCGGAACTCAAGTCGATGCATCTTCGTGGAGTTTTCCGTGCGGCAAAACTGCCAAGAGGCCAAGGCGCGATCGGCACCAAGTGGGTGTTCAAGATCAAGCGCAAAGCGGATGGATCGGTCGAGAAATACAAGGCGCGTCTCGTTGCCAAGGGCTTCAAGCAGAAGTACGGCATCGACTACACAGAGACGTTCTCGCCCGTGGTCAAGTACGTGACACTGCGTATGGTGATCGCGATCACCAAGTATTTCGACTGGCCACTGGACCAACTCGATGTGGTGACAGCCTTTCTCTACGGAGTGATGAAGGAGAAGGTGTACTGCGTGATACCAGAAGGCGTCGAGATGGATGGCGACTTCGACTGTCTCGAGTTGGTGAAGGCGATCTACGGTCTCAAGCAAGCTTCACGTGTGTGGAACGAGACTTTCGACGAGTTCGTATGCTTTATCGGTTTCGAAGCGTCGGCGTTCGACCCATGTCTCTACATCAAGGTTGTCGACGGTCACTGTGTGCTCGTGCTGGTCTACGTGGATGACGTGTTGGTCATCGACAGCTCGCTCGAGTTGATTGCGCAGACGAAGGCCGACCTCAAGACGCGTTTCGAGATGACCGACAGTGGCAAGTGTACTTTTGTACTGGGCATCGAACTGGTGGACGAATCGGATGGCAGCGTGACGATGTGCCAGCGACGGTATGTCAACGACATCCTCAAGCGCTTCGGCATGGATGAGTGCAAGGCCACAGCAAGTCCGGTCGATTTGAGCACTCGGCTTGTCGCAAGCACCGAAGCGACCAAGATCGACGTTCCGTTTCGTGAAGCTGTGGGAGCTTTGATGCACTTGACGACTGCGACGCGCCCGGACATTGCGTATGCTGTGGGGTACGTCTCGCGCTTCATGAAGAATCCGCAGCAAGAACATTGGACGGCGGTGAAGCGCATCTTTCGTTACTTGCAAGGGACCAAGTCGCACGGACTCCGCTTCCAGCCAAGCGACAAGATCGACTTTCGTGGCTACTCGGACGCGGACTGGGCCGGCGACCACGCTGATCGCAAGTCGACTTCGGGTTACACTTTCATGCTGATGGGTGCTCCTGTGAGTTGGGGAAGCAAGAAGCAGTCAAGTGTGTCGCTGTCGACGAGTGAAGCGGAATACATCGCACTGAGTCTGGCCATCCAGGAAGGCAAGTGGGTGCATCGCCTGCTATGCGAGATTTTGGCGGCCGCAAACGAACCAGGACCGGACCTCGTCATCCGTGAAGACAACCAGTCGTGCATAAAGATGACGAAGAATCCGGTGAATCATGGCCGCACCAAGCACATCGACATCAAGTACCATCACATCCGTGATGAGGTCAAGCGCGGTGAAGTGCAGCTCGAGTATTGCGAGACTTCCGTGATGATGGCGGACATCATGACCAAGGGACTTTCGAGACCTCGCCACAAGGACTTGACGACGGCTCTCGGCATTCGTGCGAGTTCGGATTGAGGGGGCGTGTTGACGGTCATCGGTTTCTACCAGTATTGGTAACCGTGACCGGTCCAATCCGAACCGCCTGTTCAGCTTAGTATTTACGACGTAGTTCTTACGGTAATTACCATAGTTGATTAGACGCGTAGGATGATGAGACGCTTCACATGATTTATATGTGCACCACATATAAATCATGTAGTAAGTAGTAAGCCCCGATAATCAATCACTTTCCAATCTTCCATCTACCCCCCAAGTGTCTTCTCCGGTCTTCCGAGTGGACTCCCAGCATCCCTTCCAGTTTCGGTCGTCAAGCTTAACACCTTTCAGCACAGCTACGATACGTTTGAGCTACTTCATCTGGACATCTGCGGGCCCATGGAAAAGGATTCGCTCGGTGGCAGCAAATATTTGCTGCTGATCATCGATGAAGCCAGTGGATGCATGAAGGGCTTTTGTCTACGAGTGAAGTCCGAGAGTGAAGACTACATCCGGAAATATATCACCATGGTACAGACGCAATTCTGTAAGAAGGTCAAGTTCGTGCGACACGACGGAGCTCGCGAGTTTGCAACCAACTCGCTTCAACTGTTCTACGAAGACGAAGGCATTGAACAGCAGACAACGGTGCCGTATGCACATCAAACAAACGGAACAGCAGAGCGTGCCATTAGGACTATTGTAACGATCGGCCGCAGCATGCTTCATCATGCCAAACTGGACAAGTGTTTCTGGGCCGAAGCAGCGATGACGGCCATCTACGTCAAGAATCGACTGCCGTCACCTAAAGTCGTGCACAAGACCCCGTTTGAGATCGTCTACAACTTGAAACCAAGCGTCAAGCACATGCGAACATTCGGATGTCAGACGTACATACTGACGCCTAAAGAGAATCGACTCAAGTGGGATCCAAAGGCTCGCGCTGGCATATTCGTGGGCTACGAAGAAGTTTCGAAGGCATATCGTGTTTATGACATCGAGGCGGGGCAGGTGGTTATCAGCCGCGATGTCAACTTCGACGAGTCCACCTTTGGACTTCAACTGCCGATCACTGATGAAGATGTCGATGACCTGGACTTCGAATTGCTGGATCTTGATGACGAAGAGCTGCGTCAAATGGAGTACAAGCAAACAGGCAAGCGCAAGAACCGACTCAATGATGAAGATACAGCAGCTCCACGACCGCGTGCAGTGCGTCAACGACCAGGACTAGAAGAGTCAAGCGCGCCGGAAAACAACTCGTCACGCCAAGAAGAAGACGAAGAAACGAAGGATTCTGGTGATTCAACACCGCCTGTGTTTTGGCGTGCGAGTGCAAATGCCGTTGAAGCAGCAGTGGACTTATCAGAGCCCTCAACATTTGAAGCAGCAGTAAGCGGCCCTGACCAAGTGCACTGGAGAAAAGCAATTCATGCAGAGCTCGAGTCAATGCGACTTCGCGGTGTGTTTCGTGCAGCCAAGCTGCCCAACGGACAACGCGCCATTGGCACAAAATGGGTGTTCAAGATCAAGCGCAAGGCGGATGGGTCAATCGAGAAGTACAAGGCACGTCTCGTGGCAAAGGGCTTTCGCCAAAAGTATGGAATCGACTACACGGAGACGTTTTCGCCCGTGGTCAAGTATGTGACGCTGCGAATGGTGATCGCAATTTCCAAGCATTTTGGATGGCCCATCGACCAGCTTGATGTGGTGACAGCTTTCCTGTATGGCGTCATGAAGGAACAAGTGTTCTGTGTGATTCCTGAAGGCGTAGAACTTGACAGTACGTTCGACTGCCTGGAATTGGTGAAGTCAATTTACGGCCTCAAGCAAGCGTCGCGAGTGTGGAACGAGACGTTCGACGAGTATGTGTGCTCCATCGGATTTCAAGTATCGGACTTCGACCCATGTCTCTACATCAAGACTTCGGACGGCCATTGCGTGTTTATACTGGTCTACGTGGACGACGTCTTGGCGACTGGAAGCTCGCTCGAGCTGATTGCACAAACCAAGAACGACCTGAAGACGCGGTTCGAGATGACGGACAGCGGCAAGTGTGCGTTTGTTCTTGGGATCGAGCTTTTTGTTGGACGGTGAAGATGGCAGTGTGACACTATGTCAGCGTCGGTATGTCGATGATGTTGCATTGTAGATCGGAGCGAGGAAAGCGGAGCGAACGGAGCGGAGAGACCGAAGAGAGTAGAGCAGAAAACACTTTCCCAATAGTTGGAAGATTGGAAAGTGATTGGTTATCGGGGCTTACTACTTACTACATGATTTATATGTGGTGCACATATAAATCATGTGAAGCGTCTCATCATCCTACGCGTCTAATCAACTATGGTAATTACCGTAAGAACTACGTCGTAAATACTAAGCTGAACAGGCGGTTCGGATTGGACCGGTCACGGTTACCAACACTGGTAGGAAAACGAGGACCGTCAACACGCCCCCTCAATCCAAAGGCTCACGAATCTCGAGAGCCGTCGTCATCTCCTTGTGGCGTGGTCCATGAAGTCCCTTCGTCATGATGTCCGCTAACATCACGGAAGTCTCGCAATACTCGAGCTGCACTTCACCGCGCTTGACCTCATCACGGATGTGATGGTACTTGATATCAATGTGCTTGGCACGGCCATGATTCACTGGATTCTTCGTCATCTTGATGCACGACTGGTTGTCTTCACGGATGACGAGGTCCGGTCCTGGTTCGTTTGCGGCCGCCAAAATCTCGCATAGCAGGCGATGCACCCACTTGCCTTCCTGGATGGCCAGACTCAGTGCGATGTATTCCGCTATACTCGTCGACAGCGACACACTTGACTGCTTCTTGCTTCCCCAACTCACAGGAGCACCCATCAGCATGAAAGTGTAACCCGAAGTCGACTTGCGATCAGCGTGGTCGCCGGCCCAGTCCGCGTCCGAGTAGCCACGAAAGTCGATCTTGTCGCTTGGCTGGAAGCGGAGTCCGTGCGACTTGGTCCCTTGTAAGTAACGAAAGATGCGCTTCACCGCCGTCCAATGTTCTTGCTGCGGATTCTTCATGAAGCGCGAGACGTACCCCACAGCATACGCAATGTCCGGGCGCGTCGCAGTCGTCAAGTGCATCAAAGCTCCCACAGCTTCACGAAACGGAACGTCGATCTTGGCCGCTTCGGTGCTTGCGACAAGCCGAGTGCTCAAGTCGACCGGACTTGCTGTGGCCTTGCACTCATCCATGCCGAAGCGCTTGAGGATGTCGTTGACATACCGTCGCTGGCACATCGTCACGCTGCCATCCGATTCGTCCACCAGTTCGATGCCCAGTACAAAAGTACACTTGCCACTGTCGGTCATCTCGAAACGCGTCTTGAGGTCGGCCTTCGTCTGCGCAATCAACTCGAGCGAGCTGCCGGTGACCAACACGTCATCCACGTAGACCAGCACGAGCACACAGTGACCGTCGACAACCTTGATGTAGAGACATGGGTCGAACGCCGACGCTTCGAAACCGATAGAGCATACGAACTCGTCGAAAGTCTCGTTCCACACACGTGAAGCTTGCTTGAGACCGTAGATCGCCTTCACCAACTCGAGACAGTCGAGGTCGCCATCCATCTCGACGCCTTCTGGTATCACGCAGTACACCTTCTCCTTCATCACTCCGTAGAGAAAGGCTGTCACCACATCGGGTTGATCCAGTGGCTAGTCGAAATACTTGGTGATCGCGATTACCATGCGCAGTGTCACGTACTTGACCACGGGCGAGAACGTCTCTGTGTAGTCGATGCCGTACTTCTGCTTGAAGCCCTTGGCAACGAGACGCGCCTTGTATTTCTCAACCGATCCATCCGCTTTGCGCTTGATCTTGAACACCCACTTGGTGCCGATCGCGCCTTGGCCTCTTGGCAGTTTTGCCGCACGGAAAACTCCACGAAGATGCATCGACTTGAGTTCCGCCTTCACAGCATTTCGCCAGTGAGCTTGATCAGGACCATTGATCGCGTCTTGAAAAGTCACAGGTTCTGCTAGGTCCGTTGCTTCCACTGCGTTTGCACTTGCACGCCAAAGTGTTGGAGGCGTCGAGTCGTCATCTTGATCGTAGACGCTTGCATCTTCTTTGTCATCAGACATCGTTTCTGGAGCACTTGATCGTCGTTTCTGGTGACGGTTGGAGACGTGTTCCGGCGCACTTGCTTGTTCCAACCCAGTTCGAGGGCGAGCTGAACGTGACATGCCGGGTCTTGCTTCACTCTTGCGCTTGCCAGTCTGCTTGTAGACGGTTTGACGCACGTCGTCCTCGTTGATCGCCAGGAGGTCGAGGTCCAACTCCGCATCTTCATCATCGTCACTTGGTCGGTCCATCGAAAAATCAAAAGTCGATTCGTCGAAGGTGATGTCACGACTGATTACCACTTGGTCCGCCTCAATGTCGTACACTCGATAAGCTTTTGACGCTTCTTCGTAGCCCATGAACATCCCTTCACGAGCCTTCGGGTCCCACTTCATTCGCTTCTCCCTTGGTGTCAGGATAAACGCCCGATATCCAAACACGCGCATGTGCTTGACACTTGGTTTCGACTTGTACACGATTTCGAACGGAGTCTTGTGGTCGATCTTGGGTGAAGGCAGGCGGTTCTTGGTGTAGATCGCCGTCATTGCCGCTTCAGCCCAGAAACACTTCTCCAGATTTGCATGATGCAACAAGCTGCGTCCGATCGTGACGATGGTCCTTATCGCGCGTTCTGCGGTGCCGTTGGTCTGGTGTGCATACGGCACCGTGATCTGTTGTTCGATACCATGATCTTCATAGAAGGTCTTGATGGAGTTGGTCGCAAACTCATGCACTCCATCGTGCCGAACAAACTTGATCTTCGTGCCGAACTGAGTTTGAATCTTGATAATGTGGTTCTTGATACAGTCTTCACTCTCAGACTTGGACCGCAGACAAAAGCCCTTCATGCAACCGCTGGCTTCGTCAACCACAAGCAGTAAGTATCTGCTGCCGCCGATCGAGACTTGTTCCATTGGCCCGCAGATGTCGAAGTGCAGCAACTCGAACACACCATATTGGCGTTTGTCACGGTTGGTTGGGAATGGTTTTTGGACCATCTTTCCTTGCTGGCAACCGCGACACACACTTGGACCAGTCGAGTTGAGAGGTGCCTTGGCGTCCTTGATCATGCCAGTAGCCACCATCTTGCGCAGAACTTCGAGGGGTGCATGACCCATGCGCGCATGCAAGTCGATGGTCCCATTGCGTGTTGCTGCATTTGCCGATCGTTGAGGAGTCCGCAGCCAGTAAAGTCCATCAACGAGATCCGCTGTTGCCACGACTTGTGTGGAATTCTTGCGCTTCACTTGCATCTTGGATCCATCGAACACGACTTGGAACCGGCCACCCTTGTTGATCTGTGGCACCGAAAGCAGATTCTTGCTCATACTTGGTACGAACAGTGCGTCCTTGATCTCGATGTCGCCTTCGTCACCATTGGGCAGAACCACCCGTTCCATGATGGTTCCCACACCCTTGATCGCAGCCTTGCTGCCATCAGCCACTGATAGTTCGCCTTCCTCTCGCTCATTCAGGCTTGCAAACTTGGCTTTGTCGTTGCAGATGTGATGCGTCGCACCGCTGTCGACTGCCCACATCCTTGGCATATTCTTGCCCGTCGAAAGTCCAGCCTCCAGCAAAACCGCGAACGCAACTCGATCGTAGTTGTCGTCGTTGTTGTTGTTGGTTCGCCACTGAATGTTGTTGGCTCCGCGTCCACGAGCATTGTTGCCGCCGCGTCGAGCTCCACCTTGATTTTCGTCCTTCTGCTTGGTCCAGCACCGCTCCGCCGTGTGCCCCAATTTTCCGCAGTATGTACACTGGCGAGGTTCACGCTCGGTACTGAACGCCTTCGCCGCGTCTTCAATCTTCACCGATGTCGTCTTGTCACCTTGCCTCTTGATGTGCTCATTCGTGAGCACTCTCACGACGTCTCGCGATCGCAGTTCCGCGCTGCTCATCTCCAAGTTGAGAACGACGTTCTCGTAGCTCTTGGGGAGGCTGCGCAACAAGCAGATCGCCACGTCCTCGTCCTCCATCTTGGCGCCGATGCTGCTGAGCTTCGCGCTGATGTTGAGGACTTCGTTGCAATGATGCATCACATTGCCGCCTTCCGCCATCTCCATGCTGAACAGCTGGCGCTTCAAGTAGATGCGTCCAGCCTTCTGCGACCCGCCGTACAGCGTCTTCAAACGTGCCCACGCGACCCACGCCTCTTCACAGTCATCAACCACGTGATGATAATCCGGGCTTATGTGCAGCAGCATCAAGCCGAACGCAATGTTGTTCGTCTTGATGTAGTCGTCACTGGCGCGAGGATCGGCGAAGGTGGGGGTGGTCTCCCGGTTCACCACGTGCCACGCCGACTTGGTCAGGAACACGCCACGCATGTAGCGGCTCCACGTCGCGTAGTTTTCGCCGTCGAACTTGTCAATGGAGATCTTGGTGGTAGCATCATGAGCAGAGGACATCGTGCTTGGGATCATAACCTGTTGATGGGTGAAAAGCTTGACGACCGAAACTGGGAGTGATGCTGGGAGTCCACTCGGAAGACCGGAGAAGACACTTGGGGGGTAGATGGAAGATTGGAAAGTGATTGATTATCGGGGCTTACTACTTACTACATGATTTATATGTGGTGCACATATAAATCATATGAAGCGTCTCATCATCCTACGCGTCTAATCAACTATGGTAATTACCGTAAGAACTACGTCGTAAATACTAAGCTGAACAGGCGGTTCGGATTGGACCGGTCACGGTTACCAATACTGGTAGAAACCGATGACCGTCAACATATTCAGCTTCAGTCGTGGACAACGAAACACTTGGATCTTTCTTGCTGCCCCAACTCACTGGAGCACCGAGTAGCATGAACGTGTACCCCAAAGTTGACTTGCGGTCGGTAAGATCACCAGCCCAATCCGCATCCGAATATCCACGGAAGTCGATCCTTGCACTTGGCTTGTAGCAAATTCCATGCGTCCTGGTGCCTTGTAGGTAGCGAAAGATACGCTTAACTGCAACCCAGTGTTCTTCTTGGGGATTTTCCATGAACCGCGACACATAGCCCACAGCAAACGCAATGTCCGGACGCGTTGCAGTGGTCAGGTGCATTAACGCACCAACAGCTTCGTGAAAAGGAGCATCGACCTTGGTAGTTGCATCACTTGAAACAAGTCGAGAGCTCATGTCGACTGGACTTGCGACTGCCTTGCAATCATCCATGCCAAAGCGCTTGAGGATATCATCGACATACCGACGCTGACATAGTGTCACACTGCCATCTTCACCGTCCAAAAGCTCGATCCCAAGAACAAACGCACACTTGCCGCTGTCCGTCATCTCGAACTGCGTCTTCAGGTCGTTCTTGGTTTGTGCAATCAGCTCGAGCGAGCTTCCAGTCACCAAGACGTCGTCCACGTAGACCAGTATAAACACGCAATGGCCGTCCGATGTCTTGATGTAGAGACATGGGTCGAAGCCTGACACTTGAAATCCAATGGAACACACACTCGTCAAACGTCTCGTTCCATACTCGCAAAGCTTGCTTCAGGCCGTAAATTGCCTTCACCAATTCCAGGCAGTCGAACGTACTGTCAAGTTCGACGCCTTCAGGAATCACGCAGAACACTTGTTCCTTCATGACGCCATACAGGAAAGCTGTCACCACATCAAGCTGGTCGATGGGCCATCCAAAATGCTTGGAAATTGCGATCACCATTCGCAGCGTCACATACTTGACCACGGGCGAAAACGTCTCCGTGTAGTCGATTCCATACTTTTGGCGAAAGCCCTTTGCCACGAGACGTGCCTTGTACTTCTCGATAGATCCATCCGCCTTGCGCTTGATCTTGAACACCCATTTTGTGCCAATGGCGCGTTGTCCGTTGGGCAGCTTGGCTGCACGAAACACACCGCGAAGTCGCATTGACTCGAGCTCTGCATGAATTGCTTTTCTCCAGTGCACTTGGTCAGGGACGCTTACTGCTGCTTCAAGTGTTGAGGGCTCTGATAAGTCCACTGCTGCTTCAACGGCATTTGCACTCGCACGCCAAAACACAGGCGGTGTTGAATCACCAGAATCTTTCGTTTCTTCGTCTTCTTCTTGGCGTGACGAGTTGTTTTCCGGCGCGCTTGACTCTTCTAGTCCTGGTCGTTGACGCACTGCACGCGGTCGTGGAGCTACTGTACCTTCATCATTGAGTCGGTTCTTGCGCTTGCCTGTTTGCTTGTACTCCATTTGACGCAGCTCTTCGTCATCAAGATCCAGCAATTCGAAGTCCAGGTCATCGACATCTTCATCAGTGATCGGCAGTTGAAGTCCAAAGGTGGACTCGTCGAAGTTGACATCCCGACTGACAACAACCTGCCCCGCCTCGATGTCAAATACACGATATGCCTTCGAAACTTCTTCGTAGCCCACGAATATGCCAGCGCGAGCCTTGGGATCCCACTTGAGTCGCTTCTCCTTCGGAGTCAGTATAAACGTCTGACAGCCGAATGTTCGCATGTGCTTGACGCTTGGTTTCAAGTTGTAGACGATCTCAAACGGGGTCTTGTGCACGACTTTAGGTGACGGCAGTCGATTCTTGACGTAGATGGC